CCTTCCTTCCTTCCTTCCTTCCTTCCTTCCTTCCTTCCTTCCTTCCTTCCTTCCTTCCTTCCTTCCTTCCTTCCTGTTCTCTGGTTCCACAGGAATCCCCAGTGAGGTCAGGTCAAAGGCCCACCTAACCTCAGAAAGGCCAAGCCAATGTTGATTATGGTGAGGGCCCAAACTGAGCCTCCAATTCCCCTTGCAATTGCTCCTCTGTCATCCTTTGGACCTGTCTAGCGTTGCTCGTTAGTTCAGCATGCAGAGTGGAATCAGTTTGGGGCCAGCAGTGGAAAGCGGCCATGGCTGATGTGCTCCAGATGGAAGGCGGAGGGAGCCAGAAGCGTTACCACTTACCAAAGACCCCCGCTTGTAGTGACTGTACCATGTGGCTGGCTGTTCTTTGGGCCAACGGGCCATTTTGCTCTGCAAAATATGAGAGGGGTTGAAGCCAAACAGAAAGCCAAGTGTGGGATCCTCTTACCAGTTTACCGCGCTTGAATTCACTGAACCAGGAGCCTGGGTTTTCCTTGGGCCATGAAGTAATCCTAGCCTGAAAATGGCGGAAGAGGCACATTGGGGAAGAGAAGAACAGAGACAAGACAAAAAGAAGAGTTACAGTCTGCAACTAAAGGTTCTCACTGAAACCACTTGAGTCTTTCTTTTAAGCGAAACCAAAAACCGACAACACAACTCCTGAAACTTTCTGGGGCCAGAAGTGTTGAAAAAACACCCCAGAAAGCCCTTCAACTTCTCTGTGCCAACCTCCTTTAGGAGGCCCATACTGTTTCCCTGACCCTGGGGGGTGGGGGGTGGAGGTGGGGAGGAAGCCAAGAGAGACACAGGGTTGCTAAGTCCATCCTTGCACAGGTGGGGGTTGAGCTAAAGAACTCTCCCCTTCCCCTTTAAAAAGCCAAAGAAGACTGTTCTGCTTCCAAGGAAAGACTTGCTTTTCTGAATGGTTAGCAGTGCATTCAAATATATTTTCAGAATTGTGAAGCCTAGAACTCTCCTTTTCCTTGTTTTATTTCAAAACAATTTAAGATGACCCACTGCCCCATCTGGCTTTAGGTATGTGAAACCCCCAGGGCACAACTGAGGAACTTGTGACCCTCCAGATGTTGGACACCAACTCCCAATAGCCTCAGCCAGAAGCCAATCTAGAAGGAGAAGAAGGAGAAGACACCTCTGTAATCACAGGAAACATCAGTTTTCTTATGCACTCTTATTTGCCAAGCACTGTTCACGGTTGTGGCATCAAAACTCAACACTGTGCATGAATTTTAGGGCAACATCTGAGCCACCAGAAGTTGTTGCATCCAACTTGTTAGTTCAAGTCAGCATGGCCAATGATGAAGGATGATAGAAATGTAATCTAAAGGTATCTGACACCCACATAGAAGAAGTCTTTACCCTGTTGGCGCCATGGCTGAAGCCCAACATACCTGACAATTCCCAACAGTCAGTGGAAGATTAGTACCCACGATCATTGTCCTTCATGGCAGCTTCATGGCATGCTTCATGGCAGCTTGTCTGCCATGATGAATGGTTTTTATCAATGAATCTCCAAGGAGTTCCAGATATTGTAGGAGGAGAGCTATGTTAGTCATGGTAGCCAAAAATCAGAAAGAGTCTGGTAGCACCTTTTCGGACTTTACGAAAAAGCATCGGTCTTCATGAGCTACATCTGAGGAAGTCGTTCAAGCTGATGCCTTTTAAGAAAAGGGAGTAGCCTGAAAAAGTGACACCAGGCTCCTGATTTGAATCCCAAGGGTTTCTGGGATGAGCAGATTGCTTCCCTGTAACTCTGGTTTTTCCAGTTCTCATCTGTGCATTCACATGGCCCTTCTGCTTCCTGCTACAGTTGGGTGTGTGTGTTTGCTGCCAAGAATGCAGGGGCAGAAAGGCACACAGGGGAGTTGGGGGGCTGAGGGACCTAGAGAGCAAGGCTTCCCCCGGGCTGTTCACCAGGAGAATGTTCTGGAACCTTCCGTCAGGCACACCAGCTCCTTTGGTGGGGTGCGCAGAGAGCACACGCCCACCCAGCACGGCCTGAAAGGCCTGATGGGGGTTTGGGGCTGTGTTCAAAAATACCACGATGGTTAGGAAAAGAAGGAGGATCTGCTCCTATAAACGTGCCCAGACCTTTTAATACGGCTTTATGCCGAAGGAATGGATTTCCTGAAATGGACACAGCCTCTTTCCTATGCTAACAAATGTTTTACATTTAAACATGAAAAAACTGTTTAGGAATTAGGAAAATAAATTTGTCCTGTGAATAAACAGTTTTTAATTGCAAGAATAAATAGACACATAGCTGTTTATTTATAAACACACACGCATACACACGCACACACAAGTCTTTTGATCAATAGCTTAAAGAGGTTTAAAGTGGAAAATATTCTTAACGTAATAGTGCTTTATGCTCATAGGAGTGGGCTGGGGTCACCCATGTTGTTAGCCCCCCACATCAGGGGCCCTTCTCCCCCCTAGAAGCCTTTGGCCTGACTCTGGGAGTTCTTTGTGGTCATATTATCACTTGTGTGTGTATGTGTTGGGGGGGAGGTATAGCAACACAGCTTCCCCATTTTCAGAGGATAAGCTTTTACACTGTAATTGTAAAAGCACTCTGCATATTAAGGGATTTCTGTTTCATGTTTCAGCCTGTAAAATGGGATCAAACATAGAAAGAGAAATATTTGTGCCAAAAAGAGGGAATGTGATGGCTGGAAAACTGTGGAATTAAGCTGTAATCTAGGAAGAGGAGGTCAGCCAGATGCCTGCGGGTGTTCAAAGGCCCTTGCAGAGGTCCAGGGGGTACAAATGTTAGGTGCTCAGGAGGACTTCAGCCTTGCCTCCAAAGAGGCCCCAATCCCAGGCTTTCAAAATTTGGCTTGATCCAAAGAATTATGTAGAGAAAACAAGGGGTTGAACGTGTTTGGGGTGGCTCACTCAAGGGTGTTAAGAATCACAGGGCCTTTCATAGATGTTGATACCAGGAGGAGAGTCAAGTTTGCTGGATCCCAATGCGGACCAGAGGAATTTGGGGCAATTTTTAACACACAAAGCAAGAGGCACAGCTGTCACTTGTTTTGTCCCAGTGCAAGATCCTCTGTGAAATTCAACCTCCAGTTCATAGCTTGGAAGCCCCACGATACCATGCAAAGGGTACAGTTACATCCCAAACAGGAAATAACAAATAATTAGCAACTTACAATTTGCTTAGTGCTGTGTTTCCCATTTCTTCTCTTACAAGTTGTAAAACATTTTGTAGTGGTCTTATCTTTCTGACTAGCTGAAAGACTATTCTCTTTTATGAAAAAAGGAAGTTAATCTCCTATCCTTCTTCGCAGCCAAGGTTCAGCGCTGACTCGTTCATTGAGGGGCAATATTATTCCTTGCCACCTTCTCTTCTTTCATACCCTCAACTTATCTCCTGAAATCTACACTAATATTTTACATTTTTCTGCAAATTTCCTTATATCTAAAACAAAAGTTATGAACATTTTAAAAAACTAAACTTGGAATTAAAAAGCATGCAGTAGTTTGAAAACCTCTGCATTGATTTCTATACATTTCATCCACTAACAGAAATCTAGTTTTCCTGGAAACATCATCATATTCTGAAGAAAATGCAAAAAAGCAATGGCCACGTTTAAAAGGGCAACATTTTAAAGGCATGTAGCTCAGCAGCTTCAGCATCCATTTCTATTAATTTTGCAATGCCTCTACTGCTTATAATGCTCTCAAGTTACTGCAAATTTCATCTTGATCAGATAAAAACAAAAAATGGGATCAGGTGTTTGTTTCTATTTTTCCTATTCAGTGCAATGCGTGAGTGAACCTGGAGTTGGATTTGGACTGGACCGTCTCCAGAACAATCAAAAACAGACTGGGCCATTTGCAGAGTCTCACAGCAGATCAGGAAGTCACTGCTCAGCCCTCATTCCTGCACGTGCATGTATGGTCTGTAACTACAGAGCATCATGGTGGGAGTGAAAGTGTGAACAGACAACAAGAGAGAGTACATTTGTTCTCACTTCCAATGCAGTGTTTTTCACTCAAATTGATTCACTTGAACTAGAATAGAGGAAATTATAAGATATATTTGCATGTATGAATCAGCTGAAATTGACATATCGCAGCTTCTTTCGCAGCTCATTATCACTGCAAGTTGCTTTCAGAAGTCAGTCAATAAACAAGTATTGACAACTGTAGTCTAAAAAAATGAAATGATGTCCAAAGCAGAAGTGAGAAGGTCAAAGAACAAAAGCCAACATCTGAATCAGTGCTCAGACGTGCTAGAAGCAAGGATGGCTTGCAAGGGATGGAGAGGGAAAGGGATGCTCTGTTGTAAACTAGATTTGTTCAATTTCTTTCTCTTTGCTCTTTTTTCCTGCCTTTAATTTCTGTTGCTTGCTTCTTCTCAATCTTCTCCTGATGGGTATTATGTTGTGGTAAACCAAAATCAAAGCAACGTACAGCCAATGAAAATTTGGCAAAACATTTTCCAACATGACAGCAAAAAAGACATAAAAATTGAGTAAGAAAAAATAAGAGTTACTCACTCCCTCGGACTTCTTATCTGGGAAGATGCAAGTTTCCCCACCAGCAGTAAAATTACAGTAAACTTTGAAGGAATCCCGGGAACAGCCTTGATTTGGGTCTACCCAATATTCTCCTAGAATTGGGAGAGAAGCAGTTGTTAGAAATTCCATATTTATCATTTATTTATTTACTTATCAAATTTGTATGCTGCTGCAATCACAGGACTCTTGACAGATCACTACAAGAAAATGCAATAAAATATAAAAATATAAGAATAAGGCAAATAAAGCCCACACACTATGTATGGCATCAGGCCCCAAAAGCCCCCCAGAAAAGCTCCGTCTTTAGCTTTTTCCCGAAGGCAGACAACGAGAAATCATTCCAGAGGGCTGGTCCCATCACTGAAAAACAGTGTTTCTGGGTTTCAGCAAGTTGATCAAAGTTCCTTCACTTCTGAAATGCATATTATTACCCATTCTACTTTTTTTAAAAAAAATTGAACAATGTTTCCAATTTAATATACAAATATAAAGTATTGCTTCCAATATAGAGAATATCTGTAGCTCAAGGTTAAACTGTGGAGTTTTTGCTGCTCTTTGAGCTTGGTTGTTTTCTTGCAGACGTTTCATGACCCAACTAGGGAACATCATCAGTGCGAGGGGGGGTGGGGTTTTCCCTGACAGTTTTGGTGGGGGGTTGGTTTCCTCCTTGGTGGTTCCTTGATTGGGATATTGTTTTCTGCCTGATTATTTGTCTGGTGTTGATGCCTGTTTTGGCCACTTTGTTGAGCTCTTTTCCATGCAGCCACACAGTTTATTGGATGTCTGTATCTGACCCTGGTGGGCAGGGCATGCTGTCATAGGCTTTCATGCAGAAAGAGCAGTTGTTCCTTAGTGGAAGTTTGCCTATATGAAAATTTATTCCATTGGTGTGCTTTCTGAAGTGTTTGACAGCCATATGGGGTACCAGTAGAGGAGAATGTCTGTAGCTCAGGGATGAACTGCATATAATTGTATATATACAAGCTACTGTATATAAACAGGCAGCAAACCCCACACTCACTTGGACTGATTATGTAAACTAATTGGGCAATGAAACGTCTGCAAGCAACAACCGAGCTCAGCACCAAGAACTCCGAAGTATTGCTCGTACAGGTAGGGTAACTCCAATAACTCTCCATGCTAATTTCACAAACTGTCCATGTCTTACCTCCTCATATTTTCATTGAACTGGAGGCATCATGTAACTTGGGGTGGTGACAGAGGGCATGGTATGGAGGCAGAGCCAAGGTTCAGCTCTTGGCATCTCCAATTAAAAACACGATGAAGTGGCAGTCAGGAAACAAACTCTTCCTACCTGAGACTTTGGGAGTTGCTGCCAGTCAGAGTAAGCTACATGGGCCTGGCAAAAGGCAGCTTACTAGATGCATTTAAATGAAAATTATCCAAAATCCACAGCTGAATTTAAACTATAAATTTAAACACATAAATATGTGGTCTGCAGCCTTTGGAAGGGGCTACAGTCCTATTGTACAGTAACGTTTCTTTACTAGCCACGTTGAATCTCTGGGAAGGTTCAGTCAAATTGGAGCCGCCCAAGAAATGCCCAATAGCAATACTGGTAGGTGCTTTCCGGGTCATGATGCCCCAACATTCAGGAACAAAGAATAATGCTTGCTCCAACTTCCCTCTGCAATTCAGAAAACACCAAGATCGCTCATCTCCTTTGCCCCTACAGGAAGAACCCCGGGTTCAATGAGAGCATTTGGGGTAATATTTATTTATTTGTTGGTTGGTTGGTTGGTTTATTTTAGAGGGCCACCCAACTCCAGATGACTCCGGGTGGCGTACAAAATTAAAAGCCACAGAAACCAAAAAAGATTGTGTTCTTCCAAAACACAATTTTGGAAGAAAACTTGCAGCAACATCTAAAATCCCCAAATCCCAAAAGGGGTTTCCCACCAAAACCTTAGTAAATAGCCAAGTTTTCAGAAGCTATTTATTTAATTATTTTATTTGACATAGGTGCTGCCTGATTCCAGTCAACTCTGGGTGGCTCACTTTTTAAAGCCAGTCAGGGTGGGAGCCATCCAGATCTCTGGAATTAAAACCCCAGAGACCATCTGGATTAACTGTGCTTCTGCCATACCAACTTTTACACAACTTTTTAACATAAGACTGAAAACATTGGCCTAACCAGTGCTTTTTAGTGAAAGCCAAGTCTGAACAATGGGACAGAAATGGAATGTTTGTGAACATTTGAACCTGTAAAAAAAGTCAATTGTCCCTGTTTGTTTTCAACCCCACCCTCTGACAAAGATATTCTGTGCCTACCGTCTGGGAAATCTGGGTGACAGAGTTGCAGATCCTTGCAAGTACGAGCTGGATTGTGCTGGGTGCCTAAGGGATGTTTCATCTGCTCAATTTCCAGTTTCAGAGAGTTTAAGGAGCCAAAAATCTCCTCCATGCCATCGGCATAGTCCACGTAATTGTCGGAATTGACATCATCCATCAGCTGGCTGGCATCGATGTTTCTCCGGGTCCGCTTGGAGGACTGGATTGGAAGGGGTTGGATTACTTCTCCTGGAGGACCCTGGGTGATGGAAGAAGGACAGGAGCGTGGCTTGAGTGACGCCATGCAAGAGAAGCAGCTCAGACGTGTAACCATCTGGGAAAGGTCTTAGCCACAGCACTTACAGGAGGCCCTGGTGGGCCAGGATGACCATTTTCGCCCTTTGGACCCGTTGGCCCCTGGAAAGAAAGATAAGCAGAAAAGACGCTGTCAGTGAAGGAGCTGCCAGAGCATTCCTGCAACCAACAGGAGCCCTTAAAAAAACCACACTGTCCATGCTCACAGAAGAGTTCAAAATGAGTACAGAAAAGATCCAGAAAGTTCTGGTACATTCCAGAAATGCTCCTGATAATACAATGAGATGAAATGACTTTTCGCTCACTCATACTGAGGCAGTGGGGAAAGATGAGGTCGGAAGGAGACCATGGGACCAAAGTTCTTTGTGCTGGTGGGGTCCAAGTAGAGCATGAAATTAAAACCACCATCAATACTTTTATCCACCCTGGTCAGACTCAGACCCGATAAGTCCCAGATTGCTCAGACTTGCTTTCTGGGCCAACATCCCTTCCACTTTTTCTTCTTGAAACCCAGATGGAAATTGTAATGTGAGAATTACAACCTGCCTACAGACATTGATGTGGAACAGTCTCCTTTTTTAATCTTGACTTTAGCTCAGTTCCTCCCAACCTCTAGTTTTTTCTTGGGTCAAGGAGGGGCACCCAACTCCCCCTTTACACCACTGCATTCACAGAAGTGCAGCACTACACCACTGCACAGAAGTGCAGCAGGGGGTAAAAGGATTAAACACGGGCTACAGCCCTCAATCATGTCACAGTAATGGAAAAGTCTCCATGGGGGAGCAAACAGGAACTCATACTGTCATCTGTCACTTTTCTCCAAAGTAAAGGGGATGATCATTGGAAGAAAAGATGCAGGAGGACAGTCACCCTTGTACTCACTCAGAGCCACCCTCACCACCCCCTTTTACAAGTGTAGCATCTCCGGGGGGGGGGGG